TCCCTGTGCGTATGCGGGCCATTAGCGCCAAAGCCGATTAACCACCCCCTCCCCCCTATAATTACCACCGTGTTAGCATGACTGATATCTATCCCCCTCCTATAAATACTGTGTGATGCCGTACGATACTCACCTCCGACGACGAAAGCTTGTCTGCTTTTGAAACGTCAGGACAATACAATCATGGTTCCCGAGATCGCCTCTTCTTCTCATTTATGTCCGGGGACTCGAATCTTCGCTTCTATTAGCAATATATATATATATTTGTACTGCTAGACTAGGAGATTTTTTGGGCCCCTTGTTCCGCCCTTTATCCTACGTATGAAAATTAATCAACACCACGGATGGGATTTACCTTCCCTTATCATTTCGCCGTAGGCCGCGTGGGTTCTTTTGTCAATCCCATCGGCCAAACGCGGTCTCCGTTCTGCCCTTTTTCTGCCATAATTTTGTCCGACCTAATTGGTTGCCCATCTGAAAAATGTGGGTCTTTGTACCTTTTCGACTTTTTACTTTATACTTTCTTGTACACCTGATCTTTTCGTCTTTGTCATTTAAATAACCTAAAATACGCACCTGGATTTGATTCGAGTCAACACATGTTTGTGGGTCTGTCCGCTACTCGATGTCATTGCTGTGTTCATTGTCCTCATGTGGTTCAGTCCTTTTAGTCCATTGCTACAAAGCCTTTTTATTTCTCGGTCGTATTTTGACGGATATGAATTTCCCCGAGCAACAGTTACAGCTCCAGTAACTGACTTCAGCTCGGGACCTTCTTGGATTTAAATAGAGCACTCACGCTACGGCAAGTGGTACTGGAGGGTGCTTCAATTTTTGCGAGTTTGAACAGTTTAATACCTTTGCTGTTTTTCCCATTTTCCTTCGCTATCGTTTTTCGTAAGAAACACAGTATCCCCTATTCAGATTTAAGTTTTTTCTGTATCTGCTTTTCTTTGTAGTCTTGATTGTCGTTTACTTTTTAAAACAGGTAGCCGAAATTGTTGATTTTGCTGAGCACCACTCGTTAAATGTCGCGCAACCTATTCTTCACATAAAAAGAGCGCAGAGTGCCACTCATCGAAACGCTCTCGGTAGTCCCATAGCAGATACCAAGTTGGCCGCTGATAGTTTCAAGCCCTTCTTGTAAAAAACATTTATTGAAAATTCGATCGCTCCGCTCCCCAACATCCAGCTTTGAAACACTGTCGTTCTCGAAATTACGTATTTTACACTCTGGACAATAGCCATAGTCATTCGAATTTTTCATCTGTCGTATAGTCCTAACCCAGGCGATGTCCCGATCAACAGGTTACAGGCGGACGCATGGGAGAGTTTTCCGTCCCTCTTGTGAAATATACTTAGTCTCGCCTTTGAGAGTGAGACCTACGCCTGTTCGTGAATCGAATCACAAATTCTGCCTATCCCCAAACATGGTCAGTTTGCTTCATTTGACGACTTTGTCCCACTTAACACGTTTCTAGCAAGTCAGAAAATCTCCGGAGTCTTGAGTCTGTACGATCAACGAAATCAAACCGCCAGTTTCAAAACGAAACTCAGACGTCATTGCCATAACGGAAACATGGCTTAAGGTCGAAATAGCGGATGCCAAAATTTCGATACGGGGCTACCACTGCTTCGCAGAGAGCGTCAAAAAGACTGTGCAGTGGGTAAGTCGTATACGTACAGACATTAAGTTCGGCAGTTGAACGAGCCCACACCCTCTCCCTGGAATATGAATCTGCCTGGGTAAATATAAGAATAGGTTGGGAACTGTCAGTCTCCCTTCAACACAAGGAAAAAGCATAAATCAAACTCACCCATTTCGGCTGCACTTTAACTTCATTAGTTTTGGGTGTCTGCTTAGTCACTAGAGAGCGAATTCAGAGTGTGTGTTAGATTAAAAAACCTAAGCTCCGAAGTTAAATAATAGCAAAGTTAGAAAAAAGGACAATTTATAAGGTATGGAGATTGAAGTATGGAGTTCTGTAGGATTCGGGGTCATGAATATATCGCCCTTCGTGGAACTTGAAGAGCTTTGAAATCGGCCTGACACCGAAATTGTGTTCGAGTTGAATAAATTTATGTGTCTGCTAGCTGCTGTCAGTCTATAGCTGCCGAGGACGTCAAGGGTAGCACACAACCACGTAACAGAATACCGGAAAGAGATCCTGGCTTGCGTTGATCTGAATACTGTTGTTAATAGTTCACTATACTCATCCATACATAAAGGAAGAAGAAACGATCACTGGACGAGAACATATAATGAACAGTAAAGGGAATTGACAAGGTTATAATGACAGTTAAAAGTACAAACAGGACGAGATACAACCGCTGGGTGACCTGTCTGGGTGGAGATGCGACACCAACATACTGGCTAGTAAACCGGTGGAGAGCGCAGCGCTGTGGGCAACTGCAGGTAGGGGCTGAGGGAGGTGCCGACATGGAGAGGAGGAGAACGGTGCGAACGTCACAATACGATGCTGGGAAGGGGTCGGCGGAAGTGAGAAGGAAGGGGCACCGGTCATCTTCACCAGCACGCGGTTACGCCATCTCCATCCTAGGTTCGCGCGCCAAAAAGTATCACAGCACTCAAATAACCCTGCTCAGATCAGGGGACGTTACAAGTCTGCAGCAGCCGAGTAGCGTAATGCGTGTAGAGGCTCATAAACGTCAAATGCCGGAGATGGGAGTTTCGGCTCAACCGTTCGGGAAGTTAGAATTTTTTCTTCTAAAAGCTGCGTCACGCACATACTGGCGAGGGACAGGGGCGGTGTAGGCATGGTAGTAGATGTGTGAATAGATAGCAGATGATTTATTATCGAAACATGACTAAATAGAGGATAAAATAAACTCAAGCAGATTTAATTTTCATAATATGCTACAGGATACGCGAATGTAAGAAAGTCAGTAAATTGCACGGGGTAACGCAATAATACTGAAAAACGGTACTCTACGTAAATTAAACGTCTCAGTGCAGAAAATAGGAATAACAGTACAAAAACTGTAGGATCTGACAATAATAAACGATAACATGAGCTTAGCAGACTAGCGTGGCGGTAAGCGTTGGTTCGTGTCCACGTGACCACAGATTCTGAAAAAAAGGGGGGGGGGGACGGAACGAAATGTCCGACTAAAACAATTGGCCGTCACAACTTTGGTAGTTGCTAAGAGTTGGTCGTACCGTTCGTTCGTGTTTCCTAGGAGGCTTACCATGTTTGTCTGGATTGGCAGCTGGAAAAGATGGATACGCACCAAGAGTAATGAACATTCAGGGGCAAGTCACGATCCAAGATATTAGAATAATGTTAAATCATGTAGTACATTTTTCTTGATAATGTTAAATTATAGGAGTAGCTTTCGACTGTTAAATATGATATTATATAATTGTATATAGGTTTAATAGGACCTCAATATATCATCAGCCATAACTAATTTGTAGGGTTTTGTCGAAAGTTATAACAGTACTGGCTTCTTAAGGGATACCTAGTGTCAGTTGAGTACAGAACACTGCAGAACGATGGTCCAGAAGGCAACTAGTACTCTACACTGGATCAGACGTGCATTCAAAATATTTCCTCCCGAACTC